TTTGTATCTTTGGGGTAAATACCCAGTAGTGCCCCTGCTGGGTGGCATGGTTCTTTGCTCATGTTTTATTAGAGTACCTAAGACTCATTGTCTTGGATTTTGTTAGCTTGGCCTGTGTTCCTCTCTGATGAGGAAGTAAGTTCCTGGAAGACGGGATTCTTTCTTTGTAGTTTGTGTTTTTCTCTATAAAGCTTACAGTGCCTTGCAACTAGTATTAAATGACATATATGTTAAGTTAGTGTTTCTGTGATTTTGATTACATCAAAATTAATATTAATTGGCAGTTTGGCCAATTAACCTATATAGAACAGGTCACCCTCTATACAAAGCCTCAGAGCTTGCGACTTAATCAGCCATTCCATTTCTTTATCAACCCAATTTTAAAGTACCGCAGTGTTCGTGTGCTGTTCAGGATAAAGAATTCTTTGTTTCCCTCTGGAGAGGAAGGGGCCAGATAGACCAAAGAATAGTGACCTTAAAGAGAAGAGGCTAGCACCTTGGATTCCTTAATTGCTATTTTCGAGAGATTGGAGGGAGGGGGTAGTAGTTAAATAAGTAAATGTGGCATAAAAGCAGCACATAGAGAACAGCGAGTAAAGGGCATCTGCAGTAGCTCCTCCGCATGTTGGAAAGCCCTGCAGCCCTGCCTTTCTAGAGCCTCATGATTCGGTTGCAGGTCAGTTCCAGTCTCCATCTGTTAGCAGAGTGACATTTGGGCCACACCCAACATAGCAAATCCTTGCCCAGATTAGAGGTTACAGCAGAAAGCCCCACACAAAAGCGTACTGGCTCAAGCGCTTTTATTTTGCTGACTTTGATGCCCATGAAATAAATTTGATGTGGTCTCATTGGAGTGATTCTGAAAACTGAAATTTGGATTGTTGTTTCTATGGTGAAACTAAACCTCATTTCTTTTTTCTTCATTTGAGAGAGGGTGTGTGAGAGGGAATGCAAGAGTAGGACTAGGGGGAGGGGCAGAGGAGAAGCAGACTCCCCGCTGAGCAGGGAGCCTAACCACGAAGGGGGTAGGGTGCGGGACTCTATCCGATCCCAGGACTCTGGGATCAGGACCTGAGCCGAAGGCAGACGCTTAACCGACTGAGCCACCCAGGGGCTGTGAAAGTAAACCTAATTTTTAAAAAAAGGATAAAAATCCTCAAATTGAAATAATGATTTGTCTGTTTTTGCTGTTACAGGTTCCTTGCACTGACTCCATGGAGAGTGTATCACCTGATTTCTGTCATGATACTTGGGCGTGTTATTATGCAAATAATAAAGGATATGGTTTTATCTAGAGCTAGAGGTAAGAAAACTGAGAATTCATTTTTATGGTATGTAATTTTCTAGACCCTGAATGTCTGATCTTTGTGTAAGCATATTAACCAAGTAGTTTTAAAAGGGAACAAAATAACAAATTATGTAGGCATTGACTTTGGTATTATTGTTTATTGAATATTTATGTATTTGGTAAATATTTAATACTTATTAATTACTTACCTGATGTTGTCCCTAGTCATAGCTACTGATCCTGAGCGAAAGGTTTGTGTGTGCTGGTTTCTCTTTGGCTCTAAGCACTACTTAAATATCATTTTGAAATGTAAGTAAGCTGCAGTGAAGGTAACAGTGAAATATTTATTACATCCCACATGATGAAACTTGGACCACTGGAAGATGGCCTCATTTATATGAAAACTTTCTCTGCCTCAGTGAAGAAAAAAACAATTCAGGGCTTAAAAACAAGTAATAGTTGGGGTGCCTGGCTGGCTCTGTCAGTAAAGGTCTGACTCTTGATCTTGGGGTCATGAGTTCAAGCCCCATGTTGGGGGTAGAGAGTACTTAAAAACAAAACCCCAAAAAACAAGTAATAGTTAAATAAATTTTAACAGATGAGTTCACACTGACGAAAAATGAACTAATTTTAAACATTGTTTAGAAGTGAGAGGTTGAATTACTTTTGAAATTTGCTTAAGGTGTTTTCTGAGTAATTTGTGTTATAAATCTGAGTCAAGCTTTTCTGCACTCGGAGAGGCCTCTTCTACCAGCTAGTTTTTGTGAATGAGCAAAAACTCCGTCCTTGGAATAATTGAGCCCTGGGAACCTAAATGTGGTAAGATGGATTTGATCAAAAAACAACAAAGAGGAAGAGGTTACAGTGAGACATTTATTTTCATTAAGCGTAACCCCCACACGGAGGGATAATGCTGGTTGGGGTCCATATGGATCAGTGCATATAAGGAGTTCCCAAAGTTCTTGCTCTAACGGAAATCCCAAGGCCTGCCTTGTGGGAAGCAGCCTTGTTCTCCCTAAAGCCAACTCTGAGACTGGGGATAGAAGCTGTTACCGATTTACCATCATCATGTTCTACAATGTGCCTTAACTCCGGTTTATCTTTTAAGTCTTTACAGTTTTAAGGCAAATCGTGTGTAAACCATTTTTCGAAAGATGGTTTCACATTGCTGTGTTTCAAGGTTTGAAGGGAATTCCTTCATTCTAGTGATCTAGGAAGGTGACAGAAAACTTGTGAATTTAAAGAATTTATGTGAAGAATCAATCTCCTGGAAGGGGGCAGCTCCAAACTGGAGGTTTGGTTAGGAGACCTCCCACCAATGCGTTTGTGTGCAGTTACTGCATTTCATGAATCTCTAAGATTATGTTCTTGTATGCAGTGTTCCTTCTCTCCTCTCTCTCCCTGCCCCAACATTTTGTGTTTCAGAGAACAGTCACCCAGCTCCCTCACTTCTGTTTTTAAGATTTATTTATTTATTTGAGAGAGAGAGAGAGACAGAGAGAAAATGCAAGTGGGGGGAGGGGCAGAGGGAGAGAGAGAATCCTCAAGCAGACCCCCGTTGAGCGTGGATTCCCAGCACAGGGCTCCATCCAGGACCCTGAGATCATGACCTGAGCTGAAATCAAGAGTCAGATGCTTAACCGACTGAGCCACCCAGGCGCCCCACCGACTCCCTAACTTTCAACCCTATCAGGCACCCGCCCCAGTACTTTCTGTTCACCCCAGATGTAGTAAGGATGCCCGGAGGTAGAGCAACTTACACCGTGGGGTTTTGCCCAGGGCCGCTCCAGTCCACGCATGGCGATGCCTTGTTTCTGCCCTGATTCCTAATGGATAGAGGAGAGCCCATTTTTCTCCACTAGACTTTGTAACATCTTCACCCTCCAGGACCTTCCTCAGGGGAATCTTAGAAGAAAAGAACTGCTTAAAAAGTCTGTCAGCGGCCACTGTAGATGAGCATCTCAGCAGTGTTGGTGTTGCATCAAAGCAGGTCACATCTGGGCACACGTTATAAGCAGCAGACAAGCACCGAAGGCCAGGACAGAGCTGGAAAACTCTGCAACTGCTCATTTCTCACTCTTGGCCGGTCACGCAGAGGTCATTCTCAGCCTTGACTCATTGGCCTGATGTTCTTGCAAAGACGGGACTTTCATATTCCTAAAGGGTGGGACACCTCTGCTTGCAAAGGTTCAGTCCTTTACCAAACTGAGCCGGGAGAGTTGGAAGAATACGAGCCTGACGGGTCTAGTCCTTGAGCTCATTCACTCCACTCCCCAGCCGTGGAGGGCACCCATCCTGGACTGTGTCCGTGTCCTGGGGCTGCAGTAACAAATCATCATCGGCGTGGTGGCTCAAAACGACAGAAATCTCTTCTCTCACTGTTCTGGAGGCCAGTTGTGCAAAGTCAGTATAGCATGGGGCCAAAATCAAGGTGCTGGCAGGGCTGTGTCCCCTCCGGAGGCTCTAGGGAAGCATTCTTTTCTTCTCCTGGCCTCGGCCTCGGGTGGTTGGTTGGTGTATTGGCTTGCAGCCTCAACACTCCACTCTCTGCCTCGGTGCTCGTGGCCCCTTCTCCTCTTCCATCCTCACCAGATCTCCCTCTGCCTCCCTTTTACAGGGATCCTTGTGACTGCATTTGGGGCCCAACCTGGATAACCCAGGACAGTCTCCCCACCTCTTGATCCTTGACTGAATCCCATATGGTGCCTCGCTTTTTCCATATAAAGTAAGATTTTGCACGGTTCGGGGCAGAAAAGCCCGCCGCCACTCGGTCTCCTTATCCCATGACATGGCAGAAACTGACCTGCAACCACGCAGTTGTGCGAGGGCCACCTAAGAGTGTCGACTAGAAGTGCCTCGGGCGCAGTGACCCTCTGCCCCCCGCAGCTCTGATGCAGAATCTGAACAACACGGGGTTTGTTGGCCCATCAGGCAGTCTGTGTGGAGCGCCTTTCTGTGTGGGGCCTGCCTCAGCACGGGACTTCCAGGGGCTTCCAGATACCCAACCCCCACAGGCCTCTCTGCCCCCCGGGGGAGCTCTCATGCCCCCATCCTGTAGGGCAGGCTGTGTCCCAGGCCAAGCTTTACGTCAGGGTTTTAACTGGGTAGCTTGCTACGCACCAAGAGGAAAGGAGAACGGGATTAACTACTGTGCTTTCCCAGCACTCCTCAGCCTATGACCGAAGGAACACTGGTGTCCGCCCCGGCCTCCTTCAGTGGAGTCTGTGCAGACAAAGCACATAGACAAAGTCCATGTGAGCCCTGCACATAGATGGCAGGAGCCCGCCTCTGCAGACCTTTCAGCCCAGAGCCCTGCTGTGATGAATGGGTCTCTGGGAGGCGCCCAGTTCGAGGCAGATGCGGTTATGGAAACTCCATGGCTTCCACCAGACCTGCCAGCCACTCGGGCCAGACACCTTGGCTTTGCCACAGCAGCTGGGAAAGCGTGAGCGAGTCCTCAGGCTCACGGGGCTGTTCTCTCTCCTCCCATCTCGGGGTCTCCGCTCCCCCCCCACCGCATTCCTGCCTGAAGATAGCACACTTCCATTGTTAAGAATTTAGTTTTATTCCTCCTCTTCCCCCATGGTTGTCTTTTTTCCTTCAAGATTTTATTTATTTGACAGAGAGCATGAGCGAGAGCGAGCATGAGTGGGGGAGGGGCAGAGGGAGATAAGCAGACTCCCCACTGAGCAGGGAGCCCGATGCAGGGCTCGATCCCAGGACCCCAAGATCATGACCTGAGCCAAAGGCAGACGCTTCACCGACTGAGCCACCCAGGCGCCCCCCAACACTGATCTTTAAAACCATCTTAGATGCTTCCTATGAAGTAGGTGAGGCCCAAGTATGGAGATCCTTTCAGGTAAATTAATCTTTGTGGAACCTACCAGAGCCCACGTGTCTGTTGCGAGTCAGCAGCGTGAGCAGCCTCCAGCTGCAGTGGATTTCTCGCTCACTCTTGCTGGAGCCTACCTTGAGTGCACACTTCTCTTCATCCAGGCCCTGGGGAACTTTTCTGCAGCCATAGGCTCTTCGTCCATCACCTACCGCTCTCTCTCATGACAGAAGAGCCCAGAATTTCCACACTGGCCCCCTTTAATATCCTATTCAAGAACCGCCCTGTGTGGTGGGGAGGGGGGGGCTCAGCGGGTCCCCACGTGGCCACCTGTGGAGCATTTCCACCCCTGTCTCTTTATTCCCTTCCTCCTGCGAAATCTGCACTGCCCATTTATGCCATGTTCTGCCAGCCCCTCGCTCCTCGGGAACCCGCTCTCTCCTTTCCGTGTAAGTGCTGCCCTGCTCAGCCTCTTCCCCCCGCACTGCCCCCCAGCTCCGCACAGCCCCAGCCTGCTCTGTGCTCCATGACTGTGGTGCTCCTGTCCCTGCCATTCTAAATGTCCTTGTCCCCTTTGCCAGCAATCATACTCCTTTTCCTCACTTTTAATGACAGACCAAACAAGCAAACACCCCTTAGTATTATCTGCTTTCTCCACTCTTGGATCCAGTGTTAACAGAGAAATGTCCTATGACAGGTGGGTTGTTAGTGCTCGACTTTATCCCACTTTCCAACGTCACCTTGAGGCCTCACTAGTGCTCAGAATTCCTTGGATTCTTTTGAATAGTTTATTTGCTTTGTTTGACATGCCCTCTAACCCCCAAATATATGCCATCTAACCCCAAAAGCTTATAAGGATCATAAAAAATGAGACTCATTTAAAAAGGTGTAGTAGAGGAACAGGATTCTAATGTGACCATAACTGAGTGACAGAGTAGTCCCTGGGCTTACCGGCAGCCAAGGCAAAAAGGGAAACTAGACCAACTGAACAATTCTTCTAATAGTCTGATGAAAGAATGCAAGCAATTTTGAGAAACTTTTTTTCCTGGGACTCAATTTTAAGAATTTATTACATAGATCTTTGGTAGGGGAGACTGCAGAACAAAAGGGACAACATCGTTGGCATTCGTTTCATGGGAAAATGCAGAAACAGCCTCGTGGTGCTTCTAATATTGCACTTCATTAAAGCTGGTAGCTCAGAGTATAATATTAAGATATAGCACAGTGAAGAAAGCAAGCCAATCAAGAAAGCAAGTGATTGATCTAAGTATACATTTTTTTCTGTTGATTTCATTTGAGCCTAGGTATAAGCTCAAAACACCTAAGGAAGGAAGAGATAAAAATCCCCTTTCTCAAGTAACAGTTGTCTTAGTTCTCCTTCCGTCAGCACCATTTCAGAACCCACCTTAAATGCCACCTCGGTTATTGGTGCTTCCTTGAGCAGCCTGATTTTCTCTCTTCCCTGAACTCTTGTGGATTGGGCTTTTTGTGTAGTTCCTACACCACCTGCCTCGGTTCGTATGTACTTGAGTGCATGCTAGGACTGCCTCACTGAACAGTCAAGTCCCTGAGGCAGGACCACGTGTGATGTAGGATCTCTCATGGCACCTGTCCCAAGTGTTTTACATGTAGTAGGATCTCAAATATTCATGGACTAATCGCCTGAATTAATTATGGTACCAGAGGTATACACTGAATGGTTCGATAATTCCTAGAGTTTAAATATTTAAGCATTTCATTTTTTTTTTAGATTTTATTTATTTATTTGAGAGAGAGAGCGAGAGTGTGTGTGTGCGCACAAGCACAAGCCTGGGGGAGGGGCAGAAAGAGAGGGAAAGCAGACTCCCTGCTGAGCAGGGAGCCCGATGCGGGACTCAGCCCCAGGACCCCGGGATCATGACCTGAGCCGAAGGCAGACGCTTAACCAACTGAGCCACCCAGGCGCCCCTAAGCATTTCATGTTAAATAGCTCAGAATATTTCTAAGTTGAGAAATGCCTCAAGAGAAAAACACCTCCATTAATGTCTTGCTTTTTGCCTCTCCTTGTTACAGGTGCACAGTTATGGAGAAGCCTCAGCGAAAGGTAAGGAACTTGGTTTTTTTTCAATGTTATTGCTAACAAGAGGGTAGGTGACTGAGCCTCCAAGATGTCCAGTGGATTCAGATCCATCAGTTGGTTCTCTCCTTCTTTAAAATTGACTTTATGTTTTAGAACAGTTGAGACTTACAGAAAAATTGAGAAGATAGTACAGAGTTTCCATATAGAGATAGTACATCGCCTACGTTTCTTCTCTTCACATAGTAATATTACATTACCGCCATACATTGTCACAGTTAATATCTTCTTATTAGCTAAAAGTCCATGCTGTGTGCAGATTTCCCTAGTTTTCGCCTGATGTCTTTTTTTTGTTCTAGGATCCCATCCAGGATTCCACAATGCATTTCATAGACATATCTCCTTAGGCTCCTCTTGGCTGTGACAGTTTCTCAGACTTTTCTTATTTTCGTTGACCTTGACAGTTTTGAGGAGTACTAGTCAGATATATTGTAGGATGTCCCTTTATTAGAATTTGGTGTTTTTCTTTTTTTTTTTTTTTTTTTATAAATTTGAAAAAAATTTTTTTTTTTTTTTTTTTTTTTTAAAAAATTTTTTTTTTTTTTTTTTTTTTAGAAAGATTTTCTTTCTTTTTTTTTTTTTTTTAAAGATTTTATTTGACAG